TAACTGCCTTGGGCAGTTTTGAGCTGTAGGATTGCTCAGCCTAAGACTTGCTGATGTTGAAGTTGTGACTGGACTTGCTGATGTTGAAGTTGTGACTGGAGCGGGTGCCACGAGCTTACAATTGCCTTGTGGAGATTTTGGTTGTTCCTAACTCCATCGTCTCCACTTATGGAATGAGGAAGAGTGGGATGAGTGAAAACAACTTGCTTTAGCAAAGTGCTTTTTATTTTTAGCTGGTTGTTTTACTGGTATCAGTGTGATTTCAATCTCCAAGGCTATCAATTTGGCCAACAACAAAGCGATAAATCTTGTGAAGACCATTCATTCATCTGTGCTGAAGTGGATTGCTTTTTATCTTGCTAAAATCTGCCATTGCCTCAGTCCCATTGAAGTTTGGTTGCTATCCTTATCGGGTGTGCTGGATAAAGGGATCTGGGAGCTGGTATGAATGCAAAAGAGGGCGGCAGAACGTATCAAACCTCCTCCGAGTTGTTAGAGCTGACAGCGGAGAAATGCTCATGCTTTTGTGATTAGGTAGACTCCTGCATGAATACTCTTGGCTCTGTCTGTGGGTGGCTGGATCTCAGTGGTATGACTAGTTGGAAAAAAAAAAGGCGGCTTACTTATATTAGGCAAGGGAAAAGACGCTTCTCTTCCAACACCGCCCGGGGAAAAAATGCAGGGTTCTTTCCTCAGAAGAGGGAAGGGGAGTTGTGGGAAGGTCTGTTTTCTCCCTGAGTCATCACAAAGCGCTTGCTAAACCCAGGTTGCTAAACCATCAGCTGTCTGGAAGCACGGGGAGTTTCTAGTAAAGATATATAAAAACGCACTGGCTCCTGCTGCGTTTACTGAGGTTTGGGATGGAAGGTACTTTATGTACCGCATAAAGTTCTCATATTGTGAGAGTGGGGCTTTTTCTTTTGACTGGCTACGTAGTTTCCTTTTACCTAGAAGTGTCGACACCGTTTGCTTTGAATTGGCATAGTTACAAAGAGGTTTATTTTAACCTGAATTCCGTGAATTAGGTGACTACTTGCGTTTTACAACTTCTTAAGTATTATTAGTATGATGACACTGAGCCAGGTTTCATCAGTTCAGTGCCTCTTGACTCGTAATTATCTCAGTTAAGTCCTGCACAAAAGATCAGGGGCAAGTGTTTTAGCTGAGCTTGTCATTACCATAAAAACAGGCAGGCGGGCTGCAAGTTACAACTCGATCCACTTACACAACAGAGGCATTTTGTAGTAACTCCATTGTTTCTGTAACTGATAACATTTACCTTGGGAAAAGAAGGTGCCAGCTGTCCAAAGCTGATAGCTAAAAGAAACCCAGCACTGAAAAAACTTTTGATCTTTTAATTATATTTGGAAGATGGGTAAGACTATTTTTTTCTTTTCTTTTCTGCAGTTTCTACCCAGCATCTCTCCACACGAATTTTCATTTATAAATTTAAACCCTACGTAGTGCAGTAAAATGAAAATGTTCTATTGGTCCATCAGCAGCAACACATCTATTTTTTTGAAGGAAAAAAAAAAAATCTGTTCCTGCCTTGACTACCCCATCACCCCACCTGGAAACTACTTTGTGAGACACAGCACTGTTGGCTTGACATGTCAGCCCTTTTTCCCTAATGAAAGAGTCATGTAAAAATCATCATATGATGCCTACTACCATGAGAAGGAGCAAAGGAAAAACCACAGCAGAAGCTGCCTTTAAAGATAGGAAATAATACCCTCTGGTCAAATGACATAATCCTGGAATTAATGACCCATCCAGGAGAAGTTCCCGCAGTGGCTGCATTTTAGTCTTGACAAATAGCATTGTATAAAAACTCTGAATGTTTTCTTGAATAAATCTAGTCAGAACATAGTTTGTCTTGCCTAGATCTATTTGTTTGAATGCCTTTTTAAAGGCCTTTTCAAGGCCAGGCTGGATGGAGCTCTGAGCACCCTGGCCTAGTGAAAGGTGTCCTACTTTATGGTGCAGCTAAACTACCTTACTTAACTGTGGTTTGCTTCAGTGCGGGCTCACATTTAAATGTTTTTATGTTTATTTTTCTCAGTCCATTCTTGTTTAAATCAAGGGGATTTTTGACAAAGAGGTGTTTTCCAGATTTCCTCAGAAAATCAGTTTCTCTTCTGGACCTGAGGGAAAAGCTTATAATCTTTTTACACTGTTCTTCCTGGGGAGAACTTTGAACAAGTCTAGGTAAATAAAGGCTACTTTTCTTCTTTAATGGAGAGATGACATCAGATTTGGACTGTATTTAAAGTGTGTGATTTTTTTTATCTGAGACATCTGTCAATGTTTCCAATGTCAATACTTTCTACCTGATCTATTTTTTTTATGTCCTAATGCACTTTCCAGCCAATTACAAGGCCCTCTCCCTAAGACCCCCCCTTCCCCATTTAGCTTTACAGAACCCAAAGAGGCTTTGAAAACAAGATAAAGTCAATGTAAGGCATCTTAACCTTGAAGCACATGTTGATTTGATGTGTGCATATGCACTGACATTGGACAATTTGACTGAGATGTTGGCAAAATATTTTTCCGATAGTTGTGTGCTATAAATAAATAAAACCCATTTAGCCAAATTGCCCGATGGAACACATTTTACCAGGGGGTGTGGAGGGGCTTTCCAAGCATAAGAATTCCAAATTTGTTATTTAGCCATTCAGAAATTATGGTGCTAGCTTCTGAAGCCATGACACTTGGAACATAAAGTGCATTTGGCACGTAATCAGCTTTGTGGTCGTGTTAATTTGCTTTTTGGTTTGGAGATTTTGGTTTTTTTTATGTGCCAGCTTCTGACTGTAGCTCAAAGCCCAGAGGTTTCGAACATTATCCTCAATTTCCAGCTGAATCAGGGCTCTTTCAGTGCTGTAGAGAAATATTTTTGACCCCTAAAGGCTAAGGGAGAGACAGGTTGTTAAAGCTGCTGTCCTGGACACTCAGGAAGCACAGGAAAAAGGCACAGAGGGGATGTTTTGGCAGCACCTGCTGGTTAATCTGCTGGTTCCCCTCTTCTTCAGAGTAATCAACACAGACTATGGGCAGAGGGCACCAGTAACCAGTACTCTTGTCTTCTTTCTTTAATTATAATTTCAATGTTTATTTTCATTTTTATTATTGCTTCCTGGCGATGTGTTCAGCTGAAAGTGGAAGGAACTAATTTCCTGAACATCTATGATAAAATCACATTGCTGATAATGCCAAATGGCTGCTACTGCAACATGACCTTCTACTTGCTGCCTTTAAATTTAAATGGGAAGCTGACATGCTAAACACTTTTATAGTGCCTGGGACAGTGGGATTCTGCTTTACACGTAGAACTACTACACCAACTTTCATTTTTGTCATAGATAAATAGTGTTGTATAAGTATGCAACAGTAGGAAAAAGCATAAAATATCCCTCTGTAATTATTCCCAAATTTTACATTATTTAAAGCTTTGTTTGGCAAGTGAAACCGAGAGATCTTTTTGTATCCAAGAAGAGCTGGAGGAGTAGAGGGCAGAAGCCAAATCTGTCTTTTCAGGGCTACGTAACCTTGGGTGTGGTTACAAGATGAATTAACCATTTTTAAATCCCTGATGCTGCCAAAAAGGATATGGTTCTCCCCAGCAGGTTAGCACTGCTTCCCTCCCCAGGCAGGGTTGGACTCTCCTCCAGCAGAATGTTTTCTTAGGAGGGCTGGAGGAATGGGAAAAAAAGGGTGATGAAACACCAGGATTTGGGTGTGCTGAAGACAGTTCCCTTTTTGGAAAACATCTTGATCCGCTTTTGGTTTTCTGTACCTTGAGAATGTGACATGCAAGTCTTCAAACTACATTTTGGTCTGTGCAAGGGTGAGAGTGTAAATGTTGAAGGTGCAGAAATCTGTGCAGATGTGCTAATCCATCACACCCTCCGTGTCTTTAACATCAGTCCAATAAGAGTGGAGGGCGACAGAGGGAAGTGGAGTTTTTAATCACCTTTGATGAAATTAGAAAAAAAAAACACAATAGTTCTCTGGTTGCAACACTCTTGGCAGTGGTTTCTGCCTGGTTCTAACCTGAGAGCAAAAATAGTCCAGATATTTGCTTGTTTTGGCTGAGTTGGCGGATTAGAATCTCTTTTGTCTTTCTCACGGGGTTTTCCTAAAGGAAGTAACACAATCTCTGGAGACAAAACATTCTTTACAAGGTGTAAAACAAGCAAGGAAATTTGGATTCAAGTGGTCACAGGTCTCTGATTCATAATGGGCTTGGGTCTGGGGATCCCCCTGGCAATCTGGGAGTGGTGTGTGGCTGTTGATCTCATCTGTTCCTGTAGCTTCAGGCTCTGGAAACCTGTGATTTAAGGGACTTTTAAGATATGTTTTTCAAAGCGTTACATCCATTTTCTCATCAGGCTGGCAAAGCTGCCATCAGTTTTCTGATGAAAGTACACAAGAAACACTAAATGATTCAAGTTGCTGTGCTCTGTGCACTGCAATGACATCCAGAGTCGAGATGTCTTCACCGGAATAGGGGAAGAATCTCAGTCCCTGTTCCAGCCAAAGGCAGAGCTCACATGATTCCATTGGGGCAATATTTCTTCTAGAAGTGTTAGTCCTGACTGGGCTTTGGCACTGCTGGAGCAGTGCTGTCATCTGCTTGGAAGTCAAATGTTGTCTCAAGTATGAGGTATTTACTGTGTTGCTCTGAAACACTCTTTAAACTTTCTGCTCTTGCAACAAACCAGCATTGCCCTAATTTTACATTTCACGCATTGCATTTTACATTTCACATGTAAAAATGGCTGCATTTGGCCCTAGACATAAAAAAGAATGATACATCCTTGATAAAACCTTTTTCCATCAAAGGGTGATATCCTCCAATGCTAATGCTTTCTGATTTTCACTCTATGTGTCAAAAACAATGACTTAGGGTTTGGTTGTTTGTTTTGTTTTGTTTTTCTTTTTCCTTTTTACTGTGTGGTTTCCTTTGAAATCATGCTTCTTTTTTATTTTCTTTGTAGGTAACAGAGATTTTGCTCCCGATGATCCGCTGGAATTTAAGTCTCATCAGTGGTTTGGAGCCTCTGTGAGATCCCAAAATGATAAAATTCTGGTGGGTTTTTGGTGCCCTTTCGGTGCCTCAGTACAGAGATATTGTAGTGGAAAAAAATGTGAAAAGATAATTTAGAATTTAAACAAAATCACACTAATCAGCATGACTTGTTTTTTTTTCAGGATTTCTTAGCTAGGCTTTGCTTAACTCTTTATAAACAAAGGCTGTAGCACTTTTGTCATGTGTTAAGGAATGTAGTAGACTTAGTTTGATGAAGTTAGAATGTGTTATAGATTCTTGATGAACTCTCTACAAAATATTATCTCTGAAATTCCTGATGTAAATTATCTATTTACAAAGCACAAACTGGTGATACTGCTGCCCCTAGTGCTGATAGTATAAATCTCCTCTAATAACACATGGTACATCTGCCAAATTTTTTTTTTTTTTTGGTTGCTCTTCTGTAGAAAATTGGAATTCTACACCCTACTGCATCTGGAAAAGGAGTTTGTTTCCTCATTGCTTTGTGTTCTTCCCTAGGCCTGTGCCCCATTGTACCACTGGAGAACTGAAACAAAACAAGAGAGAGAGCCTGTAGGAACTTGTTACCTGCTTGCTGGGTCAAAATTTGTGGAATATGCTCCTTGCAGGTCAAGTAAGTACAGAGCACCTGTGTTGCTTTTCTGTTTGGAATTCTTGTGTTATATTTCATGTACACTTTAAATTTTAGAGTTATTGCCCCCTTCCACATGTAGCAATTAGAACAAAACCTAAGATAGACCCAGACATCTGAATCCTCCTCCAGCTGGTGTTCAGGGTGCAGACCTTGCTTTCTTCTAGGGGGAACATCCTAAATCCAAGTGTCATTGGAATTGAGGACTTTTGGTTTCTTAGGGACCAGTTCTGTATTAATCATTCAAGAAAAATTATACAGCAAGTGCTTTTTCAAAGACCAACTCTAAAATTTTATGAAGCTCAAGGATTATACTGTCATTCAAGTACTTTAAAGTGCAAGCTCATTTTAGAAGACAAGGTTTTGCACAAGTAGGTTCTGACCTGTGTGTACACATACACAGGTAGTGATGCACTGTTTTAATTATATTAACTGTTGAACATTTTGAGTCTTCTTTTCCAAGTGCTTTGCATCCATGTCTTCTAGTTGGGTTGGTAGATTATTCAGAGGCTTAGAGCCTTTTTTAAAACACAGAAGTCTAAAAGTTGAATGTTGAAGCTAGAATTGTCTTTTTATTTGCTGAAAGTAATTTTTTAACAGCAGGAATAAAATCCAGTGTGGTCCAACATAACAAGAAGTTAAATAAGCATATATTAAACTAAATCGTGCTGGTTCAGCAGTCACACTTTCAGATAAAGGGGTCTCAGCATTTCTACTCTGGAGCTGTATAATCCTAAGATTAACTCAGTCATAACAATTCTTGCTGGGATGAGTCTCAGTAGAGAGAGATTTTTTTTCACCCAGGTGTGCACTTTTTGTTTGAAGCCAATTCAGATTCTTATTCCATACCAGAAGAAAAGTTTGTTCCCTGTTTTCCATATACCTTATTTCCTGAATATAAATTGCAAATATTTTTCCCCCTAAATTTTGAAGATGAAATGAAAAAAGGAACATGGAGTTGCTGTTCACTTTGACTGTGATAGGCTAGAACACATTTTAGTGTTACAGGTAGCCAGCCCTGAATTTGTTACAGCATTTGGTTGTGAATTGTTGATAAAGACAAAATACTGATTTAGGAGTAAAGTATTCCAAGGTTCAAGTTCAGGAGAGAAAGTTTACTTAGGAAGAAAAGCATCCACAGAATCATCTGATCTAATACTGATAATACTTATTTATTTTTCTCCTCTTTCTTTTCTATCCTTTTTTTTTTTTTTGTCAGCAACTATTGATGCAGATGGGCAGGGATTTTGTCAAGGTGGATTTAGTATTGACTTTACAAAGGTATGTGGTTCTTTCTCAGTTCCTGTGGGTCAGCAGACAAAACACCCCTGATGCAGAGCACTGACAAGCACAGCTATTATGAAGCCAAATGTAAAAACCCCACAACCAAACAAAATTTGTAAATAGAACAAAAATAGCTTCAAACCACTCAAGCAGCTGTTCTAAACCTGTTTCTCCCTCTGTTTTCACAGCAGCACACTTTCACCTCCTGTAGGAATCATGTCCCGGGCAAATAATCTGCTTTTCCAGCTTCCCGCCATGCAGCTCTGCTGGAGCTGCTCTTCAGGTGGAATCAGCTGCAGTAGTCAGGATTTTTGGGAGGGATTGGTGCACAGTAGTGTTACTTCTTCAGGAATAATAACTTAGGGAAGTTAGGTAAACAATGTTCTCCTGAGTCGTGTTTGTTTTTCTCATAAGCCAGCAGAAGTGCACTTTCTTCTCCTTTCGTGTTCTCCCTGCCTTTTAGAGTTCTTCTTTTTTTCTTTTTTTTTTTTTTAAATTCATGATTACTTCTTAAATCCAAGGACAATAACACTGTGCACAGATCTGAGAACTTACTGTAGTTTTCATGTTGTACAGTGAAATTGTACAGTCTGGACATGTCAAGACTGGACATGCAAGTCCTACTTGTGATGTGACTCTTTTTTGGGTAATTCACATCTTATGATTAGGTCATGTCCCTTCACTCTTTGCCCAAGACCACTCTTGTTTTTCCTGCAGAGGAGACTGAATAATGCAGGATAGGACTGTAAGTGTTTGAATTGTTTTACACACACCCCTCAGGGCTACTGTGCAGACTCCAGCCCCGGTTAAAATCAACCTCGGGCTCTAACTCCAAACCCTCACTGAGTGGGCAAACCTGGCTCTGAGGTATCTCCAAATCTCTGACCTAGATTTTTCTGAGTGGTGAATATGAGACTTTTTAGGATTAAAATCTGAATAAGTGCTTTAATTATTCAGCAAAGCCTGTGGCCTAATCCAATACTTACAGAGCAAGTTCCCAACACTGGGATAGCTAATGTGGTTAAAGTTTCACAAAATGGTTTGTGGATTGCAGTTGTACCAAGGAGTGTGGAATGGGGGAATTAGATCACAGTTATTCTGAGTTAAACTTTTCTAATCATAAGTTAAGAAAAGTGGCAGAGGCAGAAGATGAAACTAGTTTTGGGTGCTGACCTAAAAACATGTTATGATTGTCATGTAGCAGTCCTAAGTTTTTCTCCTAACTGTATTCCTGTTGCCTTAGATTTATGTGGGAAGAAGGATCTATCATAACAAAAGCAGAATTCTGCCTAGAATTTTAAGTGGATGAAAGAGAGCCACAAGTCACTGAAGGCAGATAGTTTGTTATCTTAACACTTTACAAGACACATTTGTAATTAATCACTCCTTCACAAAATAAAATGTGGGAGGGGTCAGTGAAGCTACAGTGATGTAGATGCATGGCATTACTTCCCATAAACATAGCACATATTCTCTTGATTTTTAGATGTGCTTAACGTGTTTTTAATTTTTGTTTCTGTCTTTTTGTTTTTTCTCCCCTTCCCCTCCAAGGGAGACAGGGTGCTGCTTGGAGGACCTGGAAGTTTTTACTGGCAAGGTGAGATATATGATTGAAGTCACAGAGAAGCTGATCTCTGATTTTTCTTTTTGTTCTCTTAGTCATTTTTATCCACACTCTTCCAAACACTGTCAGAGTCTTTGTCAGTAAGAAAACTAACAGAAATATGTTCCTTCATCCTTCAGAATATCTCCTGAATAAGCAGGACAACCACAGATTAAATCCGAACTAATAGTTGTGTAGATGTCCTTTGTCTTTTAAATAACTCCACGATTATTTTAAAGGCATTTTCCCAGGAAGGCAGGATTTGTTTCCATCAGCAGGATGAGTTTTCCTTTAGGATATTTTGCTTCAAAATTGACACGCTTTGTAATTTCTGACATACACCTACAAAGAGTGCATTTTCGAGGGGAAATGTCCCCTCCAAAGAGAACTGCATTATTTTCAAGGGGAAATGTCCCCTCCAAAGAGAACTGCATTATTTTCCTCTGACAGCAGAGATGTTTTGTGTTGGTATCAGTTGGTTTGTGCCACGGGGCACGTTCTGCCTCTCCCTGCACTGCTTGCCCAGAGCATTACCTGTACACTTTGCAAATGTGGACATGGTCAGTATTTGCAGGATCCTTCAGCCTTTAGCTACAGTTCTCCACTCAAAAGAGGGAGCTGCTGCAATCAGGACAAGGCTGCCACACTCTGCTGCCTGCTTTTAATGTAAATACCAATGTTTATTAATAGACTTTCTGCATCAAGCCAGCCTACACGTAGATGCAGCAGCACAGGAGGCTTGTTCCAGTCCTGTGCTTTAAATTCTGAGCAGAATGGAATGATTGAAGCTAAAACTGCAGCTGCAATACAATATAGATTATGCTCCTCTATTCTTTTTTGGCTGAAATGAGCCCTCATCTGCCAAAACAACCTTATTCTCTCATACTGCTTCCAGAAAAGAACAATCTTGGCTCTGAATAGAAGACAATACTGTACTCCTAAAAACTAGATTTTTCATCCTAAACTTTTCTTCCATGTTCTGAGGTGCTGGAGGAGTAGTTTTCCCTACGCTTCGTTATATGTTTGAATATGTATGTGAAGTTAAGTGTTATTCTGAGAATTTTTTTGTGATGATTCAAGTTTTATTTTAAACTCAGAGCAAAGAACGTAATGCAGTCACCACCTAGTGGCTAGTGAAGTGAGAATGGAGGATGTGGGAATGCACTGTGCTCTCCTCATTTGTGGTCATCTTCTCGGCCTCCTGTCTGCCAAAATAAGCTCTTGTGTTATGGGGTTTAGGAGCAATGACTCAGTTCTGTGATACCATCAGCATATGATAACTGAGCATTCCCATTTAAGTCCTGCCTTATATGTAGGAGTAGCTTCTATTTTCAGTGAGAGCTTTTCTTTGTCAATATGTGCATACATTTTTTTGAGGTAGGATGCAAAGTTCCACTTATACCCTTCCTGGTGCTGCTGCAGTATTGTGGAAGAGTTGTTGCTTTAGAAGGCAGCATCCTGTAAATGAGTCCTGTAACTTTACTGGCTGAGATCACACCTTCTGTTTGTGGTTTTGAGCTGTTTTCTTTCTCTTTAGGCCAGCTTATTTCTGATCGAGTGACGGAGATTGTGGCCAAATACGACTCCAAGGTCTACAGCACCAAGTATGATAACCAGCTGGCAACCAGGCCTGCCAGTGCTGCTTTTGATGACAGCTACTTGGGTGAGTAGTGGGAAACAGGAACACCCAGGTGTAACTGGAAAACTCCCTAGCTCTGTTCATATTTCAGTTTAAATCACAGCACTATTAGCTCAACATTGGACAGATAACTGAAGAGCAACATACTTGAAAATGCAGTAATTTATATATGATGGAACCTTAGTTATCTTGCCACAGGCTTGACTGAAAAAGCACCTGATGACCAAATAAATGGATGTATTTCCATGATTTTTCATGCTCTGTGATTCAGGCTGAATATGGGAATGGCCAAGGTGTGATTTTTATGTGAGAAGGTAGTCACATACCTGGTTTTTTTTGAAAAGCAGCTATTTCTAAATAATCTACCAGAACAAAATAAAAATGGAAAATAATTATGTTTGGGAAGAAAAACCATGAAGAGGGTCCCATAGAGGAGTGGGCCATCATAATTTAGCTTCATAGATGTCTAACCAGGTTCAGAAGAAAACAAGGATAGACCAGGGCAGTTCCCAGGATGACAATTTTAAAATTTTCACGTTCTGGTCTCAAATTCCTGGAGCTGTTCATAGTCTAAGCTGCTTTGAGATAATATTTATTCCATTGCATTTTAAGAAGAAGAAGGGAGGACTGTGCACAGAGACCTGTGAAGAGTATGAAGAGAGATGAAAGGTTTGAGGAGGTTTTTAAAGTCTCTTCTTGTCTGTTCAGGTTACTCGGTGGCTGTCGGAGACTTCAATGGTGATGGCATAGAAGGTAAGACCCCTTGCTTCACTTAAAATCATATTAATAGGCTGGGCAGATATTTCAAATAAGTGATACAGTGCACAGGAAAATGCATCAGGCACTAGGAATGAGCTGCTCTGTGCTTTGGGACCTGAATGTTACCTGTGTCTTGCTTTATGTTCCAGACTTTGTATCAGGAGTCCCGAGAGCAGCGAGAACTCTGGGAATGGTAGGAAATTTGAAACATCAAACTTTAAAATAAGTGTAAAAGGTGAATATTGTTGGTATGCTCTAATGTGTGTTCCTTCATGTGCAGGTGTCCATTTACAATGGGAAGAACATGTCTTCTATGTACAACTTCACTGGAGAGCAGGTGTGTAGCTTGACTGAGTGTAGTGGGTGACCTGGAGGCTGTTCCTATGTTGAGACAGTATTTAGGGGACTAGATAATATGATACTCTCTGTGTTATTGGCTTAATTGCCAAAGCAAAATTTTATATAGTCTCTAGGAATTCCAATCTTAATTTTTAAATAAAGGAAATGCTGCCTATTTTGAGCGTTGGGAGAGAGAACTGGGTCATGAAAGGGGAGAATGGAGAAGGGAACTGATTCATTTACTTTGTGAGTAAGAAACAGAAAGGAAAATACAAGGAGAAAGGAGACCAAAAAAATGTTGTGGTGGATATTATCATCTCCTTGAGGTATTTTCTATACAGATTTGTGTAAAGGTCTTTTCCATACAGGTTTGTGTAAGCTTGTTTGTGTTTGTATCACTACAACTGACAAGTTTGGTTTGAATATTTTGTTTTTCAGATGGCTGCCTATTTTGGGTATTCAGTGGCTGCCACAGACATCGATGGGGACAAGTAAGTGCCCTCCTCTCACCACTGCCACCCAACTTGTTTCTGGAAAGAAAAAAAAAAGATACTTTTTTTTAAAAAGTCTTTTCCACAATCTAAATTTCTGTCTTCATTTTTGGTTTAACACATATCTGCACAACACTCTTGCTTTGTTTTAACAAATGCAGTTTTGTTTTTGTATTTATCTGCGTCAACACATGTGCATTCACATACTTGAAGTGCATTAAATTCTTGTATATTTGTGCTTACTCTGTCAATAAATATTTGCCTTCAGTGGAAATTTAAAGGCAGTTAATTTGGATCTTAGTATTGACTTCAGTGCTGAGTTAATCAGATGCTTAAAAGAATGAGTTTTTATGCTGCCACTGAAGAACCTTTTCCTTCTTTGGCCCAGTTTTACAGATCTGTTTATTGGAGCCCCCCTTTTTATGGACCGAGGCTCAGATGGGAAGCTTCAGGAGGTTGGCCAAGTGTCCATTTGCCTGCAGAGATCCTCTGGAGGGTTCCAGACCTCCAAGCTGAACGGCTTCGAGATCTTCGCGCGCTTCGGCAGCTCCATCGCCCCCCTGGGGGACCTGGACCAGGACGGCTTCAACGGTAGGACATCCCTGATTGCTCAGGGGTTCCCCTTGGTAGGGGGCTCAGAGCCAGCACTCTGACTGTGGATTCTGCACACAAACACTCGGCATTCTTGCCATGGCTGAGTGTTGGACACCAAGGTCTAGACTCCTTTCGATGCTTGTATGCTACTCCCAGGAATGCTAACAGGAGTTCCATGGATGCATCGAGCAGAGACTATGCCATTGCAGCTACAGCATGGATGACTTGAGCTGTTACACTGGGCAGCTCGTTGCTTTCTGAGTGATAACTACAACAGAAACTTTGATGAAATGCTCAACTCTCCCCTTTTTGACTTGTTAGGACGTCTGCAGTAGAATTTTCCCGTTTCCGTTGCTTAAAGCTGACTTTCTGCTCCAGGAACACAATGGTGACTAAAAGGAAGGTTTTGTTTCAGAGAGCTGGTTAAAAATGTTCTGATAAAAGAGAAAAGTCCATTTCAAAATGGGAAGGTTTGGTGAAAATATTTCATACTAACTACAGCCCAAGAGCTGAGTGTCTCGAGCGAGTAATTGCATGAGAAGTCTGAGGCTGACACAACTGAAGCTGAGGACTCTCAAACTCGTTGCCTGTGCTTCTTGTTACTTTAGGAATTTGCTATTTTCACTTAGGAATTCAGAGCAATGAAACAGGCAAGAATCATGTAGTTTTGGGATGGAGACTTCCAGGAATCCCAGGGAGAACACCTTGTTATGCACGTCATACTCCAGTGTTGCCTTAAGAGTTGTAGGAATTTGAGTTTCACCAAAAATGCTCATTTTTTCCATTCTGCTTGCAAGATAAGTATTTTCTGAAAGATCAAAAATTACAATAGGCTGATGTTTCAAATTCTCAGGTGGCTCTTAATTTATTTTCTACGAAATCATAATGTCATAAAATAGTTTGAGTTGGAAGGGACCTTTTTAGTTGGTAATAATATGCAGAATTAGTGTGAAGATGTGATATCACTGCAACTATTTACAGAAGACATTGGAAAGGTTACAGCTGATAGCCAAAACTCTAGTGCCCTGATGAAGTTATCCCAAAAATGTTTCCATCATACTTCAATCTGAAATAAACTGTAGGCTAGAAAATCGTAGCAAAAGCTGCCTCTTTTTAATTACTTTGCTGTTATTTAGTCTGTTGTAAGAGAAAGATTCCAGGCAAACCTTCAAACTAAGCTTGATAACCATTCCACAGATTCTGCAGTTTCCTCTCCCGAAACAATTTGGCAGCATATTAAAAGTAGCATCCTGCAATCCTCTGAAGAATCCTTAGGGTTCTCCCTCAAGAAGAACAAGGACTGGTTTGATGAAAATAATCAAGAAATCCAGGAATTGTTGAGGAAGAAGAGAACCGCCCACCAAGCTCACCTTGCACTGCCTTCCTGTCACGCTAGAAAAACAGCCTTTCGTCTTGCTTGCAGCAAGCTCCAACAGAAACTCCGTGACATCCAGAACAAATGGTGGTCCGATCTAGCTGCAAAAACTCAACTATGTGCAGATACAGGGGATCACAAAGGATTCTATGAGGCCCTGAAAACAGCATACGGGCCTACATACCAAGTCCAAAGCCCACTACTCAGTGCAGATGGTCAAACGCTTCTGACAGATCAAACCTCCATTCTGAATAGATGGTCTGAACACTTTCAGACTCTTTTCAGTACCAACCGTGTAGTACAAGACTCAGCAATTCAGTCCATCACACAACAACCAGTGAAATACGAATTGGATACTGCCCCCACTCTAGGAGAAACCCTCAAGGCCATACAGCAGGTGAAAATCGGCAAGGCAGCTGGGGTTGATGGAATTCCACCTGAAGTCTGGAAACATGGGGGCCTTGCACTCCATGCTAAATTTCATGAGCTTGTGGTGCGCTGTTGGGAACTAGGCGAACTACCTTCAGACCTTCGTGATGCAGTCATCATCACCTTGTATAAGAAGAAAGGTACTAAATCAGACTGTTCAAATTACCGTGGTATTACTCTGCTCTCCATTGCTGGCAAAATCTTGGCAAGAATACTCCTGAACAGACTAATACCCGCTATAGCAGAAGAAATTCTACCTGAAAGTCAGTGTGGCTTCAGAGCCAACAGGAGCACCACAGACATGATATTTGTTCTCAGACAACTGCAAGAGAAGTGTAGGGAACAGAACAAAGGTCTCTATGTAACCTTTGTCGACCTCACCAAGGCTTTCGATACTGTGAGCAGAAAAGGTCTTTGGCAGATTTTGGAACGTTTAGGTTGTCCCCCCAAGTTCCTTAAAATGATCATCTCACTTCATGAGGATCAGCACGGCCAAGTCAGATATGGCAACACACTTTCTGAGCCCTTTCTAATAAAGAATGGTGTGAAACAAGGCTGCGTTCTCGCTCCTACCCTATTCACAGTCTTTTTCAGTATGATGCTTCAAAGGGCCTCGGCAGACCTCGATGATCAGGACGGTATCTACATTCGATATCGTACTGATGGAAGCCTATTCAACCTAAGGCGACTGAAGGCCCATACTAAGACCCTAAACCATCTTGTCCGGGAGCTGCTCTATGCTGATGACGCCGCCCTTGTTGCCCACACAGAAGCAGCTCTGCAGCGTTTAACATCCTGCTTTGCAGAGGCTGCTGAGCTCTTTGGGCTGGAAGTCAGCTTAAAGAAGACAGAAGTTCTCCATCAGCCTGCACCTCAGGAAGTCCCCCACCGTCCCCACATCACCATCGGCCAGTCAGAACTCAATTCAGTCCAACAGTTTAATTACCTAGGCAGCCTCATCTCCTCAGATGGTAAGATTGATGGGGAGATAGACAATAGGTTAGCGAAGGCATACAGTGCTTTTGGAAAACTCCATAAACGAGTTTGGCGTAATAAACACTTGAAGAAAAGCACCAAGATCAGTGTTTACAGAGCCATAGTGCTGTCTACTCTTTTATATGGTTCCGAATCATGGGTCATCTACCGCCACCACCTGCGTCTCCTAGAACGCTTCCATCAACGCTGCCTCCGTACAATCCTTAACATCCATTGGTCAGACTATGTGACCAATACATCTGTTCTCGAACAGGCAGCAATCACAAGTATTGAGGCCATGCTCCTGAGAACGCAACTGCGTTGGGCAGGGCACATCTCTAGGATGAAGGACCACCGCCTCCCTAAGATCCTGCTCTATGGTGAACTTGCCACTGGCTGCCGCAAGAGAGGAGCTCCAAAGAAAAGATACAAGGACTCCCTGAAGCAACAACTCAGCCTCGGGCATATTGATCACCATAACTGGTCCACTCTGGCCTCTAATCGGGAGGCCTGGAGACAGACCATTTATAACGCTGCTGATGCTTTTGAGAAGGCACGCAGGATCACTCTTGAGGAGAAAAGACAACGCAGAAAGAATCGAACCTTGCAGAATATACCATCTAAGGAGTCTTTCTGCTGTGTCTTTTGCAACCGGACTTGCCTTTCTCGTATTGGCCTTTTTAGCCACCAACGCGCTTGCATGAAAAATGGGTAGAGCCCTTCCCAAATCTTCGTTCGCGAAGCCTAGCCATGATTTAGTCTGTTTGTTTTGTTTATTGCTCTGCCTCACTTTGGGAGTGTTAATTAAAATACTTTCCATCACAGTGTGGTGCAAGATTGGAATTTTTACTGGTGTCATAAAGTTTGTGAATATAAGTCAAAAATACAAAACAGTAAATTTTGAGTCCTTACTCTCTTCATCAAACTTTCTAAAATTTAAGTAAAGAGGAAGGAAAAGTGAAACTACTCTGTATAGTGTTTCATGTTTGGTCTTTGACTTTTGATTGTTGAATGTACATCATATTTGCACTTCTAAAACTGTCCTTACCTTACAGTCTAATTAACATTTTGTTTATTACTGTTTATTAGTCATTGAAAATGAGTACTCTTAAATTTATTAAACTTTAAGAGATAGAATAATTGTACTAACTGGGAGTTCTCCATAAAACATATTGCCAAGCCATGTTCAGGATAGACTGGAATTTCATATTTACCATTGGTTTAGGATGATTTAAATTTTCCAGAATTATTAAAATGTCACACCCTTTGGAGGAACATGAGCGTGTTAACGAAACGGGAAGAGAGCCCCACTTAGTTTTGTGATTTGGCACCAACAATTACTCATTCTGGTTGTTTTAGTAATCTCACAAACATCTCAAATCCATAAGATTTGGCTGCAAGTCAGTTATTGAGGTGCAGAAGCGCTTGCAGAACTATTTCTTTCCCTCCTTCCCCTCCCTTCAAGTCTGTGAAGGGTTCTTGTTAAACATTTATACTTTCTAGAAAAAAACAGCATCCAATTAAAAAAAAACAACCAAACAAACGTTGTTGATGAGGGTTTTAAAGACTGGTTGCATTTCCTCCCTCCTGACACACCTTGAAACTGTAAAGTCAGAAGGGATTGACTGATGTGAGCCCAAAGATGTTCCCCTACTCTGCGCCTGGAGATGCTGACGGTTCTTCTCTTGGCTTTCAGATATTGCAGTGGCTGCACCGTACGGTGGAGAGGACAAGAGAGGACTTGTCTACATCTACAATGGAAGAGCAAGTGGTTTGAATGCAGTGCCATCCCAAATTCTGGAAGGGCAGTGGGCCGCTCGCACGATGCCACCCAGCTTTGGGTACTCGCTGAAAGGAGCCACGGACGTGGACAAAAATGGATATCCAGGTCCTTTGCTCCAAATGCACTTTAAATAACTCAACCCAAAGAGCAGACCCGCCTGACAAGCAGCATACTTTAAAGAAATACATTGCAATGTGTAATAATGTGTCTCCTTTCTTCCTAGACTTGATTGTTGGAGCCTTTGGTGTTGACACAGCCGTTCTGTACAGGTGAGGATCCCGCTGTGCCTCTACCCAAGTGCAAGCAGGGGCAAAGCTCAGGGGGGTTCTCCAGCTAAAAAAGAAGGCAGGATCAGTCTGAAATTCTGCTGCCCCACTCCATTCCAAAATGCTGGAGGTGAAAAAAAAGGTTATACTGCTGTTTTCACTGAGTATACCTACAGTCTGCTCTCTAGAATTCATCATTATCAATGTAGTCAAGAGGAAATATAAATAAGCTGCCTTTGAGGCTTTCTGAGTGACAGTTCCCTAGATTCTGACACATACAGGGTGCTGCTAACTATTACACTGAAATCCCAATGTTCTCATCCAAACTTGCTCATTTTGGGACAATACCTTATTTGTTAGTGCTAGAAAGAGATAGGACTTCTCTTTACACAGTTGTCCATGTTCTGACTGATGGGAATGAAAGGGCACAGAAAAGCTTCCCGCTTTTCCCTCATCTGCTCAGTGATTATTTGTTTTTCTTGCGGTTTCACTAAATATTGTGTGTTTGTATATATTTCACAATTTGATGGGGAGGGTATTGTCTAATGTGGTGTTGAATGCTGTTCCAAGAGGATGTTTTCTTTGCAGGGCTAGACCAGTTATTAGAGTAAATGCTGCTCTGGAAGTCAATCCAACCATTCTAAACCCAGAAAACAAAGCCTGTTCACTGGGAGATGTAAAAGTTTCTTGGTAAGCAGGGTGTCTATGTTTTCCTTTGAGGGGAGGGACTTTTCTTGGGTTTTATTTTTGTAAGCTTCCAGTTTTAAAGAATTCAGGAAGTGCAGTCAGCTAATAAGGAAAAAGACATAGATTTTTTTTGCTGAAAGAACAGACAATACAAAATAAGACCTTTGAACAGAAATAAACAGTGAAGAATTTTAGAAGAAAACGGGAAAAAAAGTGTGTGAAATAAGTATTTTCTTTTCCTCCAAAACAGCTTCAAAGTAAAGTTCTGCTTAAAAGCGGATGGCAAAGGAAAGCTCCCCAACTCCCTCAGTAAGTTCTGCTTGTTTCAAAACTTTAAATAAAGCCTTTGTGTATTGTTAGCAGACATGAGCACAGGTCATTGTTATTTTCATTACTGAAACAATTGGCTGCCCTTTACAGCACCCTTGGTAGGAGTACATCTATGTGACTGTCTTCAGCAGGGTTTTTTGGCTGTGGTTGTGTAGAAGTTGGTGGCATTTGGTCATACTTGGGACTTAAAGCATATGTTCAACTATGTGGTTACGTAGTGGTGGAAAGTCCTTTGTGTTTTACAGAATTTCGAGTGACTCTCACTGAGGGGAGTTTTAGACAAGAATATTCAAGTATTGTTAGGCCTGGGAGATACAGGCAAGCCACAGGGGACTTCTCCCATCTCTGTTGAAATCATAACCTTCAGATTGATTTCACTGACTGTTTTTTGTCAGATTGCCTGGATCAGAATCAGGAAAAGATTGATTCCAACAGGTTTTTTTAGTGGTCTCCACGAGGTTTTGTAGAGTGGCAGGCAGCCTGCTGCAATCAGGTTTTGTCTACTGATTCTAAAAGCTTTTTCTTGTTTTCTTTATGGCATGTATAGAGGTGCTGTGATCTGAGAAAGCTCATATTTTGAATTTCATTACCTGTATCAAATATTTGAAGTAATCAGATTAGCAAGAGAGTTTAAATATACAATTGCTATATGCAAGATTGCTTTAAAGATTTCTAGGGGGGGAAGATTTGAGCTTTGTTCTTGCAGTTCTATAGCAATTATAAATTATAAATGTGTCAGTGCTCTTCCATGTTTCTAGACTTTAAGGAAAAAGCAGAGTCCAATTTAGGACAGCAACAGTGCTTGAGAACCAATGTAGTAACAGATTTTTACACTGGAAGAACTGGAATTTTTAAGCTGAAATCAGTGTTCAGCTCCAATCCTGATGGGAATCTGCACTGTGTTTAATGGAATGAAACGTGCCTGACCCAAATGCTTTGCCTTGGACAGATTTCCAAGTGGAGCTGCTGCTGGATAAACTTAAACAGAAAGGAGCTATAAGGAGAGCTCTTTTTCTCCACAGCAAACAGCCCAGCCACTCTAAGAACATGACTATTACAAAGGGGGGCAAAATGAACTGCGAAGAACTCGATGCCTTCTTGAGGGTAAGTAGCCATTTATGTTTTTTTAGGCAAGTGGTTTTTGGTGCCTTGTCTATTACAAGTTCCTTGTGTTAGTTGTTAAAAAAAAATAAAATTAAAAAAAAATGCTGGAGAAACTTGATATTACTGGGACTGAGGTCCTGGTCCCTAAAGGGATTGGAATTTTAATTCAAAATTTTGTTAGCGAACTTCATGAATGAATCATCTAGGCACCACATTAATTGTGATTTCCAAGGAATATGAAACTCGATAACTAAAGGTTGTCCATCTACTTTGGAGGTAAAAAAATAAAGAAAAATATGGATCTGCAACTAAAAAGCCAAGATCAGCAAATAACAGAGGAGGCAGAGAAAGTTAAAATATTAAACTTGCTTTTTCTCAGTCTTTCTGTTTTAGTCCCCACAAATGTGAACAGATACTAACACAATTAAAAAGTGTAACCCAATAGAAGAAACAGTATGTAGCTATGTAAGTTATATGCAGCTGAGATTTATCTCTGAGTGCTATAAATCAAACATAAACACTACTTACTTTCCTCCCCAAAAAACCCTAATAACCCAATTAAAATACTAGTAATCATAAAAGATTCATGGAGGATAGGTAAAACCTTTCTTTCACCTGCCTTGTGTGTGGGATGTATACAGAATTAGACCTCTTAGATGTCAGTGTCAGTAAAGCTTTTAACACATTTCCACCTGAAATTTTCATAAAGAAAGTAAAGATACATGACCTCCATGAAGTTACCTTAAATGGGATGCAAACCCAGTTGAAAACTATACCTAATCAATGGGTTTCTGCCCACAGAAGATATGTTCTGAGGTAAGATCCTGAAATGAGCTGTTCTACAGTCAGTAATTTCCATTAGTCTCAGAAACGAAGCAGAGCTTACACTGATCAAATCTGTGACTGACATAAAGCCAAGAGCTGGTTTGTAACTAATCTGAAAGGCAGGATCAACATTTGACAAACAGGATGATTTGAAATTATCCAGATGAAAGTCAGCAGCTCCAGAGTGCAAAGCAATGATTTTAGGATAGAAAAAAAATTCGTAAGTCCAAAGATGAGGATCTTAGAAGCCAACGGCATTTTGCCCGACAGGAAAGAGTGGAATTGTTGTAGCCCTTAGTTTCCTTGGTATTAGAGTTCTGTGACTGAATAGTCCTGTATGCTCCAGTTTTCCATTTGTTAAACAGGCATGTTGCTGCAGGTTTCCTGACAAGAGATTTTTCTAGTTTGGAAAGAGCTCAGAAGTTTTCATGTTGTTTCGGCCTCCTCGTTCCTACTATGTTTTAATTGTTCTGTTTAATTGCTTTTCCTCAGGATGAATCTGAATTTAGGGACAAGCTAACTCCCATTACTATCTTCATGGAATATCGTCTGGATTACAGAACAGCTGCAGATGCAACAGGATTGCACCCTATCCTCAATCAGTTCACCCCTGCTAATATGAGCAGACAGGTACATTGCTCACACAGCCTGTGATGAGAGAGCTCAGCCTTCAAAACTCATATTTACCTTAGGACTTCTGAAAAATTAAGATACCTAAATGTACAGCTAGGCTTTGGTCTTTGAATTACGGAAATATTGATGGTTATTGTAAATTTGGTCTGCTCTCTTTGATTTTTTTTTTTTGGTTGTTTTTTCATCTCTCTCTGTATCAAATTTCTTTTAGCACTGGACTTTCTTTTCACACATCCTAATTAACAGTTTCCTGGAGAAAAGCAGTTAGAGTAGTACTGAAATTGTTAATCTTGAAGGCTTGGAGTGTTTCATCCATTGCTCATATTGTGCTGCTCTATGCACATTATGTTTATCCCTCTAGTTCTCTTAAGGTAATAAACTTAGATTTTTCTACTTTTGCCCTTTACACAAATTTTTTTCACTTGGTTTTAAAGAGGATAGTGGAGGAGCAACTCCAGTATGAACAGATTATTCAAAGTATGGAAAGATGGTTAAGGTGTAGACACTAGTCCTAGAATTGCAGTGGGGCAGGATGAGGCACAGTGCCCTGTATGTATTCATTTGTTCTCTTCTGAGACTGATGACATGAAAATATCTAATAACCAGCTATTCAGAATTTTTGGTTTTTAGTTGTGGTGAAACAATATTATTGGAAATGTATGTTGGAACAGATGCAGGAATTACTACAACAATATGCCTTTGATTTCTGCATAGGCACACATTCTGCTGGACTGTGGGGATGATAATATCTGCAAACCAAAGCTGGAGGTGTCAGTAGAAAGGTAAATACATGAGAAAAATACCACAAGGAAAAGAAATTTCCCTGCTTGAATTCTAAAACTCAAGACCTTGTAATATTTTTGTTTGAAGGATATGTTGAAATAAGGAGGACTCCTCAATGTGTTCTATCTAAACTCATGCTTATATATTTCAAAGAAAACCCATTTTCTGCTTTGCAACCTAAAGTCTTTAGCATGTAATGCTGGGAGAGCACACCCCCCACTCCCACCTGGCCTCCAGTCTAAGTACATCATGTTTATTTGTCCATTTGCTAGGCAGGACATGCATAGCAAGAATGACCCAGTGTTGGCTGCCATTGTACCACTGTTCTATTGTTTAATACTAGATAAAATCACAAATTCATGTGTCTATCCAGGAAGGGGAGAGCAAGACTCTCTTGTCACACGTATGAAAAAAAAACAATTGCTGGTATTGGTAATATCTTTTCTCAAACACGGAAAAAAGAAACAAGTTTTAAGTGATAATTCTTTCATGAATCTGAGCATTCTGTGCTTTGCATGCCCTAAAGCAACTCTTAGTGTATTATCTCTACTCATCACCTGGTTTTTTATGTCCTTAGTGCAGTGCTTTAGTATGTGCACATGTATGTAGGTACAAACACATTCATTCATGCAAACACTTCAGAAACATTGTATGTACATCAGTGCAGGTACAGTCGGGTTTCCTTGTAGCTGGTGAAGTGAAAATACATTGTTTGGAAAGGCAGTCTGTATCTGGAACAAACCCATTGTAGAGGTCTTGGCTGTATTCTGCAGTTGAGTTTTGTTATAAGTATGTGTTTGTGCCTCTTCAAAGTGGGCATCTAATTCCAAACGTGCACAGGGATTTAGCTGCCCACAGTTGTTTGTTCCTCCTTACAGAAAGGTGTCGGTGGTTTGCTCTAATTTGTAACTTTGTGGAAAGGATTCTTACAAAACAGCATGTAATATTTGCTCCATTTCTGTGATTGTAGATATGGGATTTTTTTTAAACAATTTAGAGCTTTCCTGATGCTCCTGAAGCATGGGTACTGCCTCTAGATCTCTCTGATTTCTTGGTGCAATTTCAGAATGTCTCCTCTTTCCGTAGGCTCAGCTACTTCAGTACCTTTTAAAATGTGAACACAGAGCTCATTTTTACCCTGTTTTTGTAGTGACCAGAAGCAGATCTACATTGGTGATGACAACCCCTTGACCCTCATTGTCAGTGCTCAGAACCAAGGGGAAGGGGCCTATGAAGCAGAGCTCTTTGTCGTCGTCCCGCCCCAAGCGGATTTCATCGGAGTTGTTCGTAACAACGAGGTAAAATTCCAACTGGCTTCTCAGGGTCATCCTGTGTCATCTGCTACAGGGCTTGGTCTGAACAGTGCCCTTGTTCATTTAGTTTAATTTAGACTTAGCCTGTCATGTCCTGGGTAAAGAGCTGGGCAGCTGTGAGGCAAGAAGTGATGTTGGGTATCACTGTCCTCTTCCACCTAAGTGTGTGGAAAGTCATGGGTTATCCTGACCACACAGAACATACAAAATCTTTTTCCTGACTTATCTTATCTCTTGGACCATGCTTTGGTTCGGTTCTCCAGTTTATCTCTGCTACTCATGTTATTTTGCCTTCCAGTCTTTGGAGATTCAGTTGCCTTCCAATCTTTATTTTCCTATTCAGAGTTTGCCCAATTGCCAAAGTTCTTCACACAGGTTATAAAGAATCATGTGGATAAATGCTTTATGTCACAGAAATCATAATTGCTAACCAATATGGGTATTGGAATTTCTTTTTATAACCTTGGAAAGAGATCTATCTTGTATCAAAACCATTTGGCTCCAGGGAAGCTTTCACACTCAGATTTTATTTGATTTTAGTGCTTGACTGACTTAGGACTGAGAAGTTACATTTAAATTAATGCAGAATATCTAGAACTTCTCTCCAGATTTCATCCAGGTGTCCAGGTGTAAAGAATGATATCCCTTAACATTTCTTTCTGGTTTGTTGCAGGCTTTAGCCAGACTGTCCTGTGCATTTAAAACAGAGAACGAGACTCGCCTGGTGGTTTGTGACCTGGGCAATCCCATGAAAGCAGGAACTAAGGTGAGGCTTGGTCCCACAGGTACCTGGTGGCTCAAACAGGAGGGCAGGTGGCATTTCTCTTAATCACAGTATTGTTTGGGCAGGATGTTTACTCGCAGGAAATTAAGATTTGATCTAGCTGACATTTATCTGCCCACGTGTTTGGTTGGTACAGTGGTAGCTGGTTTCAACTTTCCAGCTAAATTAAAGGCTGAAAGGAGTGGTCACGAGTTTTATGATGCAACTCAAAATGAGTAGTTCATTAAATACTGGAATTAATGAATTCTGGTCCCTCATGAGTTTGTCTTTATATTTATCTGATATGTATTTTTCAGAATATAATAAAGAGTTAGCTCATGGCACACCTTTCTCTTAGTTCATCTCTCTTCTGCTTAATTTTGTGAAGATTGAGAAGGAGTCTTGTCTAGTTGAGACCTCTACAATTCCACCAAATGTAGCTGATATTGGAAGAATTAAAAAACTATTAGTGGGACCTGACAGATTTTATGATGACATGATGCAATAAGTCTTATTTTCTGAGGAAATCAGGTGAAAAATCACAATTATAAACACTTTGATGATGCTTTTCTTCCAAGGGACGTTTTGTATAGATGAATATAGACGAACTATTTCCAAAGTTTTTTGAAGTATATCAAAGATGTTAAAGCAACTCTCAATCACCTACTTAGTACAAACCTTGGGAATGAACTTGGAATCATTTAAGTGTGTCCTGTTCTTTAAACTGCAGCACTTTTTGCAACACAAAGGAAGGCTCAGCTATGTGTAAAAATGGCTGAAGCAAGGGCAAGGAGCATGATGTAATCCTTACTTTTCTATTTTTTGGCAGTGATGCCTTGGCTTTGATCTGCAGAGAGGGAGGTGCATGTCCAGCCTCGAGGAACTGGGCAGGTTTTATTTGCCAGTTCTATGTGTGCTCTCTCATGGCCACGAGTCTCAAGCATAATATTAATAATATTATTTATTGTTGTAATATTAAGAGCATCAAGAAGCTGTTTATTGTGTGTTTTGTGGTGTTTCCACTGACCCCTGGTGCTGTTTTTCTCCAGCTGTTGGCTGGCCTGCGTTTCAGTGTGCACCAGCAGTCTGAGATGGACACCTCTGTGAAGTTTGACTTGCAAATCCGAAGGTATGGAAATCTCTGTGTACTTCACCTGGTGGAAAACATGCACAGTAAATAGACTGTGAACTACTCAGGTTCACTCTGGACTAATCCCCTGGTCTTTGCCTCATATTTGTTTGAAAAATAAACACAGAACTCATTTGTACCCACATACCATTGTGCTGCCGTGACACTCCTGCAGTGCCACAGAATGACTTTGGGCTTACAGCCCTCTTTTAAAACTGGGGTTTGAACTCTGAATTCCTTCTGATGTCAAGCCAGAATTTCACATTTTATAGGTTTTGAGGGTGAGAGTCTCTCAGAACTGGCAGTGCAGAAGCAGCATGCAGTGAACCATCACAGCAGACAGCATGAAAGAGTCTGACCATTAAACGGAGCAAAAGAGTTGTGTTTGTGTTACCTATCAGATAAGCACAGCACTGTCATATAAATATGATATATAAACCTGAATTTATACCTTCTGGAGATTAGGTTAAGATTTGGAGATGTGATCATTGGCAGTATCTTTACCTGATACAGTTTTATGTTGCTTAGTGGACAGCACAAATTCAGCTGTTTTGTTTTTTCCCCACAGTGAACCAAAAGCTCTTTTTTTTCTTTTTCCTTTTTAGGGCTTCATTTTTTTTTAACCTAATGACTAAATTATTCTCATCCACAGATGCATTTTTCACCTACGAGAGTTAAATGAATTTAAACCTGCCATTCTATTTTAATGGTATAAATAGGTCAAAGGCCTTGGCAGCTGTCTTAAACTCATAAAGCTCGATTTCCAAGGCTGGCACAGTTCCTAGCAGAGCAACTCGAGTCTCTCTAAAAGAGTGAGGTAATTACAGGTCAGGAGGAAAGCCCTGTTGCATGTATGTTTTAATTACAGCAGGAGCAAAGAATAATTAGGGGATTTAAGAAGGCCTTTCTAAAGGCAATTGTTTGATTAGGTGGACAGAATAATCAGATGTGTCATTTAGGTGAGAACTTCCTTGACTCTGCTCCTTAGTTTTTAGCAGTTGTGCTCATGAGTGGTGTTATGATGTTACATAGAATTATTTTAAGGTGTGGGGTTTTTTTTAATTAAATACTTTGTTTATTTAATAAGTTACCTTTTATTTTCTCTGCAGTTCCAACCTGTATGACAATCTAAGCCCAGTAGCATTCTATCAGGCTGACCTTGCCATTTTAGCAGCTGTTGAAATTAGAGGGTAAGCACTGATACTATTTTAATAAACATTTTTAATGAGATTTGCTTATTCTCTTGTTTACATTCACTGAACTTTGAGGTCTGAATAAATTTTCAGGAAGTCTTAGGGATTTTTTAATCATAAAGACAACATGGCTCTCTCTAGCCACCCTCCAGATTTTCAGATCTTACATAATTCTAAATAATTAAAAAAATCAATTCCAAAAAAGGAAAGTTTTGCCTCCATTACTAGACATTTTTTTTGAAGAAAAAAAGCACTCCAAGCATGTTGATTTTTTAATTTTTTTTAGATACTCTAGAGAATAATGTTTATCATTTCATACCTGATAATAAAAACTTCTTTGCTCCCCTGTTTAGTGTGTCATCTCCTGATCACATATTCCTTCCTATTGCAAATTGGCAGCCGAAGGAGAACCCAGAAACAGAGGATGATATTGGGCCTCTAGTTCAGCACATTTATGAGGTATGGAATTACCACTAATTTCAATGACATGGTTCTGTGATAAATTAAATCTTCTGCTGTAGTTTTTCTCTGTAGTAAATTATGATTTCTTTTTTCTTTATTGTCATCTTGCATGGAAGGAAAGATGTTATTTTTTTAGTGCTGAATCAATAACTGCTGTCTGCAAGAAGGGGTGGAACAAACAGAAGGGGCTGATTACTTACATAATTACACATATTTTACTTTCTCAGCTTTTAATTCTAGATAAAACATCTGAAGTAACTTTTTCCGCTCAGGAAATGGCTCATGGCTGTAAATTATTCAGTTATCCTCATTTGTACTCCAGTTGTTCTAAATCATTCTTGTGAAGTCTTTTGCCTTGAAAAAATTCAAGTATTTCAAATTTCCATGCAAGAACGATCACAGCTTTAATCTAGATTGTTTAATTAAACAAAACTTATTGAGAGCTGTGTGAATAGTAATAGCTAAAAGTTGTCCTAGAACTTAGGAGACCATTTATCTGATGAAACTTGCTGTTGTATGAATCCGTGCTCAGAGTATCTTGGTTCAGGCTGTGATTCATTTAATCAACTAAAAAAGAACAACTCATGTTTTATCAATGAAAAACTACATTAATTCAAGGCAAAAAGCCCTAATGCCATATAGCTTTTCTTCAAGTTACATTTTATCAGATCACAGAAGTAACTTGAAGTTTTGCCTGTTGGGGAACTGAAGTTTGGCTGGCACTTTTAGGTGAAGTTGTCGATGCTATTGCTCAAATATCAAATAACAAACTTGATGCACATTAACAGAGAAAGTAGCATTGTTTGGGTTTTTGTTTTTTACATCTGTCAATTTTATTTTCATAATCAGCTGAGAAACAATGGTCCAAGTGCATTCAGCAAGGTGATGATGACCCTGCAGTGGCCTTACAAGTACAAAAACAACACTCTGCTCTACATTGTTCAGTATGAGATTGATGGTCCCATGAACTGCACTTCTGACATGGAAATCAATCCCTTGAAAATTAAGGTGAGCAGGACTTTCCTTTTTTGTTTGAGTGGAATGAAGCATGTTTGGTTGGTTTGTAAGCCCTCACAACAGCCAAATCCCTGAGAATATCTGACACTGAGTTAGTTTTTCATCTCTTGCTGATGAATAAGGCAGCACTCTTTGTACATGTCAATGTATACAGCTGAATTTTAAGACAGTTTAGAACACGTAGTAAAAATCAGTATATTAAATTTAAGTAAACAGGGAAACAATTCCATGTATAGAACAACAAAGAATAATACTCTTGTATCTTTGATAATCAGAAAGCAACTTTAGTGAATATACATAAATAAAAATCTTCTGTGCTTCTACTATACCATTTGCAATAATTTATTTTTTACAACTCTTTTAAGTTTTCTCATAGAGATTTGTTATGTAGAGGGCAAGGAGCGTGGCTCTGCCTAGTCCCATATGTAAATTCGTAATTTTGCATTGGGAATTTCTAAGGGATTAATGAAATAATTAACTAATCTGCTGTTCACTTCTTCAAGCTCCTGTTAAAAAAGTTTTTGTGTATATCTGATCATGTGTACATGTGTACAGTGCTGTGTGATACATCAATATTATAATACTGTTGTGTTTTCAGAGTTAAAAACTGAAATGTTGAGGAAAAGTCTTAAGGATTGCAAAACTGAACTATCTGTTGCAGTCTAAGAGCAATTTTTTTTCTATTAGTGAAAAAGTTTTGAGTTGAAGAAGAATTAAGATACCTGAGGTTCTGTGTTAGCTTCTAGTATAAATTTGATCTAGAAAAGACAGGAGTAACATTTTATTTACAGCTGTTGGTACAGCCAGGGCCTGAAGAACAGCTAGGATAGAAAGAGAGAAACCTGCAGTTATATGTTTTCTTGAAGTCTGCAAATGTCTAATTTATTGTTTGGGTTCCCTTGGTATATCTCAGATTTCTGCTTCTAAGGATGATGATAAGAATGACACAGTTGCCAGGGAGGATAACCGTGACCATCGGATCAGCCGGAGGGATTTGGCTGCCGCCGAGGGGGATGTGCAGACCTTGGTGAGCTCTTTTAATCCCTTAAAACTCAGTTTGGATTTTTCATTCAGTGTCAGTCTTCTGTATGGAGCTATTTGGAAATCAATACTTAAAGGAGCAAGGCTGGTAAAACAGGGCAGCTGGAGGGAGCAGGGGAGTGCTGCAGGCAGCACCTCTGCTCCAAGCACAGTTGAGTTCACAGCACGTGTTTCTCAGAGGATCAGTGGACCCTGCAGTCAGCCATGTGGAGGACCTGGCCTTTCTGAACAATACTGGAAATAATCATAGAATCAACTGGGTGGGAAGGGACCTCTGAGATCATCAAGTCCAACCCTTGATCCAACCCCGCCGTGGTTCCCAGACCATGGCACTGATGCCACATTCCAGTCTCATCTTAAAAACCTCCAGGGACGGAGAATCCACTACTTCCCTGGGCAGCCCATTCCAATGGCTGATTACCCTCTCTGTAAAGAATTTCTTCCTAATATCTAACCTCAACCTCCCCTGGCAGAGCTTAAGACCGAGCCCTCTTGTCTTGCTGATAGTTGCCCGGGAAAAGAGACCAACCCCCACCTGGCTACAACCTCCTGTCAGGGAGTTGTAGAGAGTGAGGAGGTCTCCCCTGAGCCTCCTCTTCTCCAGCCTCAACAGCCCCAGCTCCCTCAGCCTCTCCTCATAGGACTTGTGCTCAAGTCCCTTCCCCAGCCTTGTTGCTCTTCTCTGGACCTGCTCCAGCCCCTCAATATCCTTCCTGAACTGAGGGGCCCAGAGCTGGACACAGCACTTGAGGTGTGGCCTCACCAGCGCTGAGTCCAGGGCAAGAATCACTTCCTTGGACCTGTTGGCCACACTGTTCCTGATCCAGGCCAGGATCCATTGGCCTTCTTGGCCACCTGGGCACACTCTGGCTCCTGTTCAGCTTCCTGTCAATCCACACTCCCAGGTCCCTTCCTGCCTGGCTGCTCTCCAGCCACTCTGTCCCCAGCCTGTAGCGCTGCAGGGGGTTGTTGTGACCAAATCTGTCATAGGAAGCAAACATGTTGCCATATCACTGTCTTTCTGACTGCAAACTATAAGTAATTATCTGGCACTGCAGGTTATGTAATGTATTGGAATAGTTTATGGTGCTTTGCCAGGAAAAGAGGACAATAGGGTATGTATTTGTATGTAAAGTAAATGTGATTAAGTAAATGTCATGCCATTAATGGCTTTTCAGATATTTTCATGCTTGGAATATCTGTCCTATTTTTATATGCAGGGCTGTGGGACTGCTGACTGTTTAAAGATTGTGTGTCAAGTTGGCCACCTGGAAAGGGGAAAGAGTGCAATATTGTATTTAAAATCACGCCTTTGGACCCAAACTTTCATGAATGTGAGTGACTGTGAATATTCTGTCCTTGTTTCTGAAACATTAAAAGTGACTTTTGTATCCACATGCAATACTGATTTTGTTTTCCTTACACAGAAGGAGAATCAGAATCACTCCTACTCCCTCAAATCATCTGCTTCTTTTAGTGTTATCGAGTTCCCTTATAAGAACCTTTCCTTTGAAGATATCCACAACTCCACAGTAGTAAGTCATTTACATCCAGCTTGAGTTACTTAATCACTTTAAAATTAATATAAAGACAACTATTGTTGAGGAGCATTTTTGTGGCTTGCTATAATTGTAATTTTACCAGCTATTTGATTCATATATTATTTTCAGTTATACATTTGATTCATATATTAATTTCAGTTATACACATACAACTGAGACTACAGTTTATACACATACAAACTAAGACTAGAGTTGACAATATTTGTATCTTGAAAGACTTAATTGAAAATGAAAAGAAAAGATGGTGAACAGTCCTAATGTTCTTGTTAATGCCATTGCTGTTAGAGAAATATTTTACTGGAAATTTGTTTTCTGCTATGGTAGCACTTAGAGCTTGAATAATGGACCTTTATTATATTTTATGAAGTATTATGTGAATGAGGAACAAAAAAAGCATCTGTGCCCCAGAGGGTTTCCAAGAGAAAGCAGACAGGGTGCAAACAGAAAGGAATATATAGGCCAATTGTTTGGGCTGCCAAATTAAAAGTTTTTGGTAAGCACTATAGCATTAAAAGGTCTGAAGAAAAAGGTTGAAAAGGACTGTGATGGATTTATTTTTGAATATGGTTCTTGATGTCTATTATCAACTGGTTTTTTTCTCTCATAAGCCTTGTGAAGTTGATTTTTGTGTCAAATACTGCTTTTTAAGAAAAAAAAACCAAACAAAAAGCCCTGAATAATTTTTCTCTCACTCCCAAATATTTCCAGATTCCTACAGTTTTACTGAAAATCATCAAGCATTAGAGAAGATACGTTGCCACGTTATCACTGATTGCAAAAATGCAAAACCAAACCGAACAAACCCCAACCCCCTGTTTTCATTTAATTTTAAAATCCTATTAAACTTGGGTCAGCAAAGTCTTTATGTCACTATTAATCTATAGCTTTTTACTCACATCGGAGTGAAAAAGTAATTTATACTAGATTAAGATTATAATCGCCACAGGATCAAGATACACAAGACTTAAACTGCATGAATGAACTCAGCTTGTCACTGCAGTGCAGAGTGTGATTAACTGTGTTTTTCTGTCAGGTTACTACAAATATTACCTGGGGCATTCAACCACAGCCTATGCCGGTGCCCGTGTGGGTTATAATTTTGGCTGTCCTGGCAGGGTTACTGCTCTTGGCTGTTCTAGTGTTTGTTATGTACAGGGTAAGTATTGTCTTTTTTTCCCCTACTAGTGATGTGTTATTTCCTAGAGTGCCAGCGGTTTGAAGGAGTGCCTTGGTCCCCTAATCATCTGAACCAGTGAAGTTTTTGGATAACTAAAAGCTTTTCAGCTTTGTCAGGAGGAAGCTGAATAAAAGAGGATGTGCCTGTGATTGTGCCAACTTATTTGGTTTAATTTTTCAGCTGATGTTGGCTGCCTTCAGAGGTCAAAAATGAGGAAAAAAGGAGTAGGAAATAAAAGTAATGTAATCAGTTAAGAAGGGAAGAGAAAGGAAGTGTATATTTGGCAAATCACAATGCAATTTCTTTATTCTCTTAATCACAGATGGGCTTTTTCAAACGTGTGAGGCCACCTCAGGAAGAACAAGAAAGAGAACAACTGCAACCGCACGAGAACGGGGAAGGAACATCAGAAGCTTAGCAGAGTTTTATCTGTGAGGCATTCTGAAATTTCAAATTGCCTGCATCTTGGTTACAAACATTGGCTTCCCCATCAACAAAAACAAAAAACCACTCACAGCTGCAGAGCTGCTGGTCTTGGCATCAGCACCTGCAAAATAAGAGCAATATATTTAAATCCTCCTTTTTGTATTAATTCTGTTCATACCTGCAACTAATGCAGCTGCACTGACTGGTGTGTGAGGAAAAACTCACCTGATATGTAGTGCTTTGACTTTGCTTACTGGGATACAGGAGACATCATCTTTTTTGGTTAACGTACCAACTTTCCATGAATTTCTACATGGATTCTGCATTTGCTCTTGAAGCCAACAGTTTCTGTAGATACTTGTTGCATTACATGTTTAGTTTCAGTTGATTTTTGTTGGAGTACACTACATTTCATTTTCTAGCTCTTCAAAGTTAGTTGCACAAAAAAAATGAATGTAGCTTGTTTTACAGAACTGAAGAATGTTCTTTGACCCATTAAATCTGACGACAATTTTTTCTCCTTCTCAAAAAAATATGAAATATTCAGTGGAATCATTCACATCTGATACCTATTCTTGTTGCCCTGCCTGCTTAGTGATCTGTCTTGTGGTTTCTCTCTAGATTTTACAAATACTGTTCTCCCGGTCCTGGGTTTCTGACTGTGGGGATTGAGCCTACAAACACAAAATGAGCAACAGAAAGCTGGGGCTGATGTCCTTTCTGTGGCACTGAGGGAAAAGATTCAGGGCAAGATCCAAAAACTCTGCTGTGTGTTTCCTCAGAGCAGGATCCAGGTGTTGCACAGAATTCTTGGCAGCACAGCACTGCCAGGGACAAGATGTTGGATTGTGGCTGCCCACAGACACGCCTGAGAAAATCCATAGCCTGAATGTCCACAAGACAAACCTCCACAGGGTTTGAAATGAAGTCTGTGTATTACTTGGATTGAGTTTCAGTTTCTGGCAGTGGAGGGAATACTCTGTGACAGGTTACCTGATGCAGGAGCTGTTGTTCATTCTCACATTTTGTGGTTGGCCATGCCCAAGTGCAGGATGGAATAACATCGGGACTTGTTTGATCCAGGCTACCTGCCAGCCATGTGGATCCTGGCCACGCTCACACCTGCCTTGCCTCCTGCCCTGAGAGAACAGCGAGCTTGTCAAATGAGGCAAAGCAGAGCTGGCAATGTGAAAGGGTTTGAAAAGAGAAGGTTGATGTGGCTTATTTAATTTTACTCATTCATTGTTTCATTGGCTTGTTTCATTTCACTCATTCATTGGATGTTCCACTGCACAAAAGACATTTCATTGCACAAGACATTTCATTATGTTCAATACATTTCATTACCAGAAAAGACACTAAATATTTTGTTTCATTGTTGTTTCTTTAAACTCACCGGAAGGTCAGTGGTTGAAAGCCACAGCCTTACATCATTCTTAGCCTATTTCCCTCACCACTGGTGTGGTAAAGTGAAGCTTCTTACACTTCTGAGAGAACACAAGAATATTGTCTGTGCTCTTCAGTAGACGGCACTGTTAAAAGGTACCATCTACAAGATGTTTAGAATGTAATTTATTCCCTTCTGGGAATAAATTGCAGTATAAACTCCCTGTGTGCAGCCCACATACACAAAGGAAGACTTCTACTGTATTTACACCACTGAGATTTCTATGTAGACAAGCTCTTCAAAGGAGGAAAAAATCTGGTTGGTTTGGTTTTATACTTTGGGGTCTTTGTTCAAAGCTGCTTCTCCCCCATAAATACTGCAAATCCTGCTAAACCCAGAATTATCTGAAATGAACAGTTTGATTCTGCATCCTTTCAGACATGTAAAATCCACAAATGGATTTTGTTGTTAAGTCCATTCTTACTCTCTGAACCATGATGGCATCTGAGTCCTTACACAAAGTCTGTGGGGGCCAGTAGGTACACCAGATATAGGCTTGCATATTTATCCATTTACATGGGTTTGTTTTAGACAGTTTGTTTAGATATAATTACTTTATATGAAAGACCATAGGGTGTAATTTTGTTTTAACTGAATTTTCAAGGTCTTCAGCGTGGCCAAAAATGTTTTATTTTTGCCTTTACTTTTAGTGTTGTTACTAGTTCTGTAGTAAAGCATCAGGAGTGAGGCTTTAATCCTGGCCTCAAAATGTGTCTTTGATAGAACAGCATTTCACTTCCTTGTAGTTCACACACTTTGTCAACCGATTATCTGTGTGCAGGGAGATTGGTTTTACCCAGTCTTAATCTTAGTAGGTTAAGAGGTTTAAGAGACTGGCAGACAGATTATAGCTCTAATTCTTATATGTGTGCTTTCATTACATGTACACACCACGTTGACTTGAAATTTATGAGACTACTTGCATGTCCAGGCGTTATAAGGAGATTAAAAAACTGTTTTACAAAAGCACCATCGAGATCTCTCCAGCTCATGTGGAAGGGGTACTGCAGCATTGTTAATGCCAGTGCTAACTGCATCCTCATTTTACTGTGCAAACTGGAAACTCATTTTGCTGACTTTCAGGATAAAAAGGTACATTTTATTGGTACAACTACTGTAGCTACGGAAAGTTTCTTCCATTTTTGAAGTTACGTAAAGTAGGACTTATTTAAGTGATTTTTTTTTTATTTCCTGCATTCTGCTGGAGAGTAAAAGCAAATAGTTGCTTCTCCCACCTCCACTGGTTTCCAGTTTGGTTAAGAACCCCTCAGGAGCACATATAAATGGAGTGTACAGGTTACTTAGTGAACACAGATATAAAACCTCAAATTCAGTTTAAAGTAACCTTTGTGTTTCAGGGAGGTTCTGAACTGGAAGTTTTCCTGAATGGGGATGCAGGAAACATTTAGGAGCATGTTCTATGTTCAGCAATAAGACTCCAGACTTTGTATGGACTCGTGTCAGTATAAATTTCATACTGACTTCCAGGCGTCGATGTATTCTAATAGCAAATATTGTAGAACGATGTTAAATTTTTTAAAGAAACTTTTAGAAAATGTGCTTTGGAATGAAATTAATGTCTTTGAGTCAAAACTGATGTGCATAAGATGCATACTGGAAGCATTTTTATAAAATACAAGTACAGTAACAGAGAATTAGCCTTCTTTTGAGAGTTCTGTTTCAGAAGCATATTTTTTATGAATATAAAATCAACAGCTATGTAATTATTTAGACAGTAAAAACATTTTAAAAGAGCTATATCTTTTATAATGGAATATGAATTTATATAAGTACTCCAGTTTGCAATTATTGCAGCATCTCATGATCAATGAAGTGATTTGTATTACAAAATGCATATTATCTATTACTATATCTGACAATATTTTGAAAATGTAAAGCAAGGAACCTAATTTATAGGTTTACATCTCTTTCAAGAAACTATGAAATTGTGGAGATAGCTTTTTTTTTTTTTTAAGCATGACTGTAAAGTCAAGTATGGGCTATGTTTATCAATATAATTTGAAATCTTTGAGGAAATTTTTTGTATCAAGTTCATAATTTTATTTGTCCCATTTTTTTGTTTTAAATTTTGATTTACATGTTGAACTTCGATTCGCATAGTGTTTGTGGAAACTTTAAGAAAGTTTATTCTATGTGCTCTTTCTTTATAAAGCATTTATTCCAAGGAAATATTTTAAATATTTAGTTGTTTCTAAACTTGTGTTCATACTTAAATAACCTTTAAGGTAGCCTGTTGCGGGTATATTGAAAATATTTCGGCCATAGTCAGCATTCTCTTGGTTTTGAAGGAATTCATGTTGCACTTACATTTTTGCAACATTTGGGTTTGCTGGTGGTTACCCTGATGGTATTTTTTAACTACACCCTCACAGTCACAGAGCAGTGAAAATTGAGTCAGGTTTTGTCTTTGGTCCAGACTAACGCGATCCTTTGCGTTCAACGCTGCTGGCTGTTAACGAGGGGGGGGTAAAAAAAAGGATTTTATAAAAGCAAAATGGAAATCCAAACAATGCAAAGGTAAGGGCAGACCCCACATGAGCCTCACAGCAAAAAGGCTGTGGTTTGTCTGTCTGGGAGATGGGAAGAACCCGTCGGTTCTCTGTTGGCAATGGCCTCCTGTCAGGACCAAATGGCAGTTTGGATTATGATGATGTGCTGTGCTCAGATCTGGGTGGGATTGGAACTCTTTGGTACTGAATCTCTAGGTTCTAATTCCCACACTAGTTGGCTGCCAATTTGTTCATTTTTGTTTGCCTGAGAAGGGATGTGGCATTTGTTGGCCTACAAGGTCTGTAAGGACAAACCAAACCGGTGTGTCCAACTGAGGTGAGGAATGAACGGAATCGGATGTTTTTCATCGCCCACATTGGGTGAAACACGATGTATATTCTCAAATGTATCCATTACTAATTGAGTTATTGAGGACTGGTACAATTAAGTCCATTGTGGAAAGTTCAACTAGAGGCTGTACAACAGTGGTTTTGAATCTGTAATGTTACTACTGTTTCATATGTGATTATGGTATTTAGTATTTTGGTGTATTTTTTTCCCAGCGTGTAGGATTTTAATGTAACACAGGAAATTTAACCTTTCATGCAATGACCTTCTCCAGATATGCTGCATTAAAGTTGAGTAACTTGACTCCTGGCTTTTGCAAAGTTGATTGAAGATTTAATGTAGCATTTGAATCTTCAAAAAAAACTTGGACAGGTTTTACTTTTCTAGTCCAGGAAGGAAACCTGTATTTGCTATTATACAAATATGCTGAAAATGTAACATTTTATTTCTTTGTAATGGAATTTTTTTGCCTTTTTTTTGTTTTTGTTTTTGCTCGTGCATTAAATCAGAAGAGCGTTGTTTGCACAAGCAGGAACTTAACACACTAACAAGAGTGCTGCATTTTGTGTTTCTTAGTCATGTAGTAAATACTTGTAAAATAAATGGGAATATTTTCAGTTACTCTGAACTTGTTTCCAAGGTCTTCGGTACATTTAAGGAGAGCAATAAATGTTTGAAGTCACCTTATTTTGTATTAAATTATAAATTGTGGGAAAAAAAAGTGGGTATTGTGGCACAGTAATTTTGTACTGGTATGAAATATATAGCTATTAAGCTATGGTTTTCCTTTCAACCCATTTGTTTCATCCTAATGCAAATTTGATTGTTTTTATTAGGTTGTATTTTTCTACGTATGTATACAATTTCCAAATATTATGATTGGGTAAATTGCGAAATGTAAGCATTGACTTGATTCTGATATTTAGAATTTTGGAATAAAATACCTCTTAATCAATGGGAGTTCTGTGTTTGGGGTTTTTTTTAATCTTAGGTGTATTTCTCTAAATGCATTTAATTCACCAGCAAATATTTTGTAGTGTATGTTTGTAATATAAAGATATCTGCTCAATACAGAAAGGTCACATTTACACAACTTTTACATTTTCAGCTCAAGTGGCACATATTAACCTTGAGCCAAAAAAATTTGTAATCACAAGTAAGAAAGAGGATCTACTCACAAATTATATTCTGTCATGAGAAAACTGATTTCCAACAACAATTTTTATGTACTGCAAATTAACATTTTAGATTTTATAGCTGCCATATCCCTGTAGAAAATGGTGACATCTTGTCCTTTGGTTAGGAAAATTCCCAGAGAGCTAGTTTTTCTTTTCTGGTTGTATTATTAGTCTAATTTGATCTTAGTATTACATTTTCTTTTTCTGATTTACAGTCATACTCACCTTTGTGAGTGGGCTGGCAGTAATTATTTTGTCACAATAAAGGCATACGTTTGTTACATTGCTAGAACACATATTTAGAAATCAGTTTTGATACTTGTGAACCCTTTAGGAAAACTCCAAACTGCTGAGTTCCCTTAATCAGTAGTAGAGAATTTGTTAACCTGAAGAAAACTGTCCATGTGTTGAGGTTATTTATGTTTACACAACCCCACTGCCTCCACTGGAGCTGTGCTGTTTTACACTGCCTGGATTTCTGACTCCTTCCATACATGTGTGATACTTTATTGCATGCTTTGATAATTAGTTTGTAAATGAATTACTAATACATTAATACTTTATGACATATTACTACGTTAATGTTTTTAAATGGCCAGTTCAAGCACTTTTAAGAACACAGAGAACAACTGGAAATCCTTTTTTTTTTTTTTTTAAGTATTTGTATGAACTTCTCATCAATATACTGTCTCTTACAAAGAATTAAGGTCACTGCTGTTACCCCATCTGAGTAGCCTTGAAAGACTGCAGGAGTTACTGCTGGACGTAATTCCTCAGGGAAATACTCAGGTAGTTGAAATAAATTACTTACTATCAGCTTTCATCTCTTTTTCAAAGAAAATTTGGTTAAGAAAACGTAATCTTGATTATATTTTTGCTGAGATGAGTGTTATTGTGTCCTCTAGGTTTTCTTTGTAATTGATCTAAATCTAGTACAAACAATTAATTTCCACATGTGTTATTCCCCTTTTGGAGCCATTTGCAAGAGAGCTTTTATGAAACATTTAACAGATTTTTTTTTCTCCCAGACCTTTATAAATGAATAATTGCTCATATTCATGTCATCAACTTTAATTTAAAATGTTCCATCTGCCAAGTCGGTTCAACTATTCCTCTCAAAATAAAATTTTATCTTGTTAAAAGCCTGAGCCTGCAAACATTTGGAAATGAACATGTATGTGATCCACCCTTTCTCAATACCACAGATACTCATCAGATAAAATCATAAAGAAAGGAAGCAAATTGCTCAAAGCATGAGCAAGTTTTCTGCAGACCCTTTTCTTCTACCTGAGACCACACAATGTTGCAGGGAGTCCAAAATGACTTAAATTGTAACAGTGGCTGTGCAGAAACAGATTCTTTTTCTTTGCAGTGCCCTGATAAAAGGTTGAAATAGGAAGCTTGGTGAGAGGATGTTCATTAGGATGTTAATTCTATGTCAATCCCAAATTTATTTGAAGTCATTGTTAATGGCAATGAATTTATTACCTTGGACTTTACAGAATGACATTACATCATAAGGAAAAATACATTCGATTTTTTTTTTAGATTTAATAACAGATGTATTTGAAATACGCACAGTAACCTGGCAGTTTTTCCTTTCAGTATGGGAAAATTTATACTCCTCTATAGTTTGTAAGTCTATTCCTCTTATTTTTCCTGCACTGAAGAAATGTTCTGTGATCTGAAAACTACAGAATTCGGCCTAGTACGTTATTGTGCCTAAAATAAAATTTATTTGGCTAGTCTTCGTTTTATTAAAAGGCAAATCAAGTGATCTTGTACTTTTTAAAGAAGTTTATATTCACTACTCAAACATACATTAAAAATGTAGTATCACCCAGTTCTGTGACGCTAGCAGTCATGATAACTGTATCTCCTAAAGCTTTGATTCTCCACTCAGGCATCTCTTTATCTTATTTAGATATTTACTCCCATTAACAGTCCTGATGTCAATCATTACACGTATTTTAGGATAACGGGTGCACATGGGTAAAATCGGAGTGGGGGTATATTCCTGAATGCAAGTCCAGAAAAGGGCAACGAAGCTGGGGAAGGATCTAGAGCACAAGTGTAATGAGGAGCAGCTGAGGGAGCTGGGGGTGTTGAGCCTGGAGAAGAGGAGGCTCAGGTGGGACCTCATCACTCTCTCCAATTCCCTGACAGGAGGGTGCAGCCAGGTGGGCGTTGGGCTCTGCTCCCAGGTGACAGGACGAGAGGACATATTCTAAAGCTGCACCAGGGGAGGTTTAGGTTGAACGTTAGGAGGAATTTCTTCACGGAAAGGGTGATTAGACATTGGAACGGGCCGCCCGGGGAGGCAGAGGAGTCGCCATCACTGGAGGTGTTTAAGGAAAGACTGGGCATGGTCAGATCTTGCTTTATGGTGAACTTGCCACTGGCTGCCGCAAGAGAGGAGCCCCAAAGAGAAGATACAAGGACTTCCTGAAACAACATCTCAGTCTTGGCCATATTGATCACCATAACTGGTCTACTCTGGCCTCCAATCGGGAGGTCTGGAGACACACCATCTATAACGCTGCTGATGCTTTTGAGAAAGCATGCAGGATCACTCTTGAGGAGAAAAGACAACACAGAAAGAATCGTGCCTTGCAGAATTTACCACCTAAGGAGTCTTTCTGCTGTGCCTTTTGCAACCGGACGTGTCTATCTTGTATTGGCCTTTTCAGCCACCAGCGCGTTTGTAACAAACGTGGGTAGAGCCCTTCCCAAATCTTCGTTCGCGAAGCCCAGCCATGATGGACATGGTCTAGCTGACAAGGTGGTGGTCGGTCACAGTTTGAAGTTGATGATCTCGGAGGTCTTTTCCAACCTTAACCGATCGTGTGATTCTGGGAATCGGCGGTTCAGTGACCGCCAGCGCCAGAGCGAAGGCGCTTTCCGAGCCGCCACAAGGCAGCGCCGGCCCCGCAACGCCGGGGCTGCGACATGTGCCCTGCTCTCGGCAGCGAGCGCTGGGACCGCCGCTGGGACGCCGTCCCTTCTCGGGGGGCTGAAAGGAGACGAGCACGGGGTGTAATCGCCCCGGTACAGGGGCGTGAGGCGACCCCGCGGCTTCCCCTCCCCTCAGTGGCCCCGCCCGCCGCGGGCCCCGCCCCGGCACGTCCGTGGGCGGGCGGTGCTGCCGCCGCAGTGCCGGGGCCGCGGCCGCCGGAGCTGCCGGAGCCGCGGGAGCCGCCGGCCCCCCGCAATATGCCTCCGCTGCCCTGGGGCTGCTCGCCATGCCGGGCTGCTCCTGCGGGCGCCTCTCCCCGCTGCTCCTGGCGCTGGTGGCCGCGATGCTGCTGCTGCTGCTGACGGGGCGGCCGCCCCCCCGCCGCCGCCGCCGCCGCCCCCCGCCCGCAGCAGCAGCGGGCGGCGCTGCCCGGGGGCGCCCCCGCCGCGACCTCAGGTACCGACCCCCTCCTGCCCCTCCGTCCCACCCTCCCCGAGGGGATGGCTCCGATCTCCCCGCGGTCCTGCTCGCCCGCGGAACCGGGCGGGGGGCGGGCGGAGGTCCCGCATCCCGGCATGGACCGCTCGGGTTGGAGGGAGCGACATCTCCGTCTTCGTGTGCCGCCGCGGTGGGATGGTGTGGCCGGGGCGGCCGGGAATGGCCCCGGCGACCGGGCAGTGACCTGGATGGGGATGCGCCCTCGGGCGCCTGGAGAGTGGCCTCGAGTGATGGGGCTCCAGGGATTCCTGTTGGCTCGCAGCAAGGTGTCTGTGTGTACATAAATATATGTATATATATAAAATATTAATATATTTGTTTCTATATATATTTATATCGCTGTAAAAATAAACCACCTCATACGTGTGTAAGCGTCTTGAGCCTGCCAAATGAGTGATGGGGCTGGTGAGCTCATTAGTTTTTGCATCCCTTCTGCAGAAGGGATAAATACATCGTTTATCTAAGAGTATAAAAATAATGTGCTTACTTCAGTATTGGGCTTTAGTAATGTGGTCCAATATGTGAGGTTATCCATTTGCATGACTAAAGCAAGTGATAAGGTGTCTGTTCTGTCACTTATTTAAAAAAATATGTGTATATCCTGAAGTTTAGTGGCTCAAATTAGGTTAAACCCAGTATTTTTCTTTCACCGAAGAATTTCAAGATGGTTTCAAACATGAATTATTTAAGACCTCTTAACACCAAGGCTCTGTTTGGGCATATCACTAGAGCATATGTTTCATTTTTAACATATATGCATGCTTCTGTTTCCAGTTGACTTCAAGAAGGTATAAAATGTGCTTAGCTTTAGACAGATGGTTAATATTTGGCTGAATTGAAGCCAGTTTGCAAAGCTGCCAAAGTATGTGTGTTAATTAGGAAATATAAGCAAAGATATTAAATTATGGTAATTGCTTGTTATTTCTTAAAGATTTAGAACAAGTAACTAGAATATGAACAGGCTTAATTTTTTTCCTGATACACTCTTGAAATGCCTTGGTTTGCTTATCGGTTTCTTTCTTGTGTAGGTTTGTTTGGGGGTTTGTTATTTTCTTTCTTTTCCAAACATTTAAACTGTAGAACTTTGAAGAACACGTCGGGTCTTGTTTTTCCTTTTGAACTGTTGATTTTTTCATTAGTTTGTTTCTCACCACGCTTTTAGTGGGATATACCATTATTCACCAGCAAACCCCACTTAAAAGGCATTGGCAGCATTTCTAACTTGTACAGTGAACATTTTGCTCATTAAAAATTGAGAGGCAAAAAAAAAAAAAAGACAGTTTTTGTAATGCAATGATCCTCTTTGGTTTCAGGTATTGATTT